TTCCCGTTTCTTCCCTATATATAAATACTTGATATTTAAATAATATCTCTATTGTATTTTTGGCTTTGAATGAGACGTATACTCGAATAAATGATGTGATCACGATCAGGCCTCTTTTTAATTTTTCGGCACGACCACTTAATCACCTCTAATTAAAATGTAAATTTTTCGCTTGCAAATATATTGCAAATATATATATATATATATATATATATATATATAACCGGGACCCCACCCTGAACAGAAAATTTATGAGCAAGCTCTCAATTTTTAAATTTTTATTTGTTACTTTGGTATTTATTTTTAAATGACATTCAGGAAGAGATACTTTAAATTTTATAAAAGCTAGAGCATTTTATCTTAGTTTTTATATGAGAAATTGATTAAAAACAGTGATTATATTCCCATAAGGGACTGTAAAATTTTTAATAAATCAATTATTGATAAAACTAAAGTTAGAACATTTGTACTATTACACAGAATATACAAAATATATATTTGAGTTAATTATTTTTAAAACATTTTGTGCATTCGCTGTCCCCTTTGGAGTTTTTCGAAGAAAAAAAAATTTCGGGTAAACGAATTTTAAAGTTTGACATCTTGTTAAAAGTTAGGACATCTGCTTTACAAAAACACCTTAGTTTTTGTTCTAATGAATGGAAAATAAAACTCTTTGTACGTTTAGAAAGCTCTTAAGACGGTCTGTGAAATAAAATCATAAAAAATTGTCAATTTTTAAAAAAATAAACGATTTTAGGGTAGTCGGATACCTTAATTCTTTTCTGTCGTTATTCTTATTACGTACTTCCTTGTATTTCTTATACATATTCCTGTTTCTGAAGACTTTTTTCGGTAACAGTTAGGTTTTTGCCTTTCATGAGAATTTTCTTTTTTTTCAAATTTGTATGTAAAGTATACAAAACGAAACAAACAAAAAATATTAATAAATATTAAGACACAATATACATTTTAGGGCCCCCCCCCATTTTTTACCCATTTATTCGGTAGTGAAGAAGTATAACTTTTTTTATTTAATTTTACAATTATAATTAAAAAAGTATATTCTAAAAGATTTCATTAGATAGGAATTATTGACTTTAAAGAAGAAATATCAATGTCGCCTTCCAGCAAAAACCGACTGGATTTTGCCGATAAAATTCATAACTCACACTCAAAATTAAGAAAGAAAGTAAGCTGTTACGTAGTTGTATCCATAAAATGAATCCGAAGGCTTTAGAATACAATAAAAAGACCTTGACAGTTGCTTGTGAAGGATTTACTTATATCAGAGGATTTCCATATTTATTCCTTTTCTCCCCCCCCCCTCAAAAATACATCACATCCACGTGCCTACGCGTAAAACGGAGGCATTGAGGAGCGAATCGCATATCTTTTAATCGGCAATTAAGGAATTAATTATAAACATTACAAATTATCAAAATAAGTTTTAATACAAACCCATAAGAACACTGTTAATTATCAAACTCGCTCTTAGCTTAGTATTGTTAAATTAATTGTAAAAGGCATTGTACACACGGATGCATTTATAAGTGTATTACATCAGCGTAAATGTGTATTTTATTTTTATTATGTCAACATGTATTTTGTTTGTTTACTTACAATTAATTAATAATTCTTTTAGATAATATTTTGTTTTCAGCTTTTCAATATGCTCATATCCCCCTCATAGAGTTTGAGAAACCGCTGGCTTAATATAACACACAGTAATTATTTTCTAAATTAAATACACAATTATAAAGTTACGTAAAGTACAATTACAGTTATGATTCCTAAGTCTTAATATCATTATACCAGGTTTTAAAAAAATATTTTCATGAAAGAACATGTACTAACATTTTCCTAATATAATTTGACAACAAGTAGTAGTTTAACTCTATTTAGTAGAAGGGAAGAGGTCAAAGGTAATTCTAACATCAATTATAAAATTCTTTAAAATATTTGCTTTGTTTAATAATTTATTATTGTTACGTTATTTTTTAATCATAATTCAAATATTTCAAAAAATCATGAGTAAAACAATAAAAGTTCTATATCATGTTTTAGATTTCGAAAGAAGAAAAAAGTTTAAGACTTCGACAAAACAAAAGATACGAAGTATCTGAAATCTTGGAGTTTCGAATGTATTTTCTCATTTATGTTTCCTGGAAACGATTGAAGAGGATGTTTCTTGTACACACAGAGTATAAATCGTCAAATATTGATCTCGACTCAGAAAAAAAATGCGTACCTTTCTCATTTTCCGCATTTGTCAGGCATGAGCTTCGTGTAATATATGCGTCTGTTTTCTCATTTGCTACTTTCCTCTATTTTTTTTATTTGTTCTAGAAGTCAACAGAGAAACCCCAAGTGATTTTTTTCTATTGCTTAGTATTTTCATTTTAGTTTCGTTGCTGTGCGTTCAGCTTTAGGATGATACCTGTAAAGATAAGATAGAAAAAGTTTTTTGGGGGGAGAATCGTAAGGAAATTTTGGTGAGGGAAATTAAACAGCAAAAGAAATTTTTAGGTTTCCTCGCAGAAATCAGTAAATATTCTTTAAGAAATGAAAATTTTTAAATTTTGTTCAGTATATTTTTTTTTCAATTCCTACTATTAGAGTTAACTCTCTCGCTATATACATATATGTCGTGTTTTCCGAGTCAACACCTAGGCTTTTTGTTTAAACGGTCTTTATTCAACGAAGATATTTCGGCATCTGCTCGCTAAGAGAAAAACGGACAACAAGTTTTTGAGTCTGTAACCACTTATAGGCCATATATTTTTCAAGTACACTTCTTATTGAAGAGGTATAGTTGAAAATTAAGCATGACATACGAGGTAATAAAATTAATGGTCGCAGATAAAAGTTCTGCTTAGGGCCATGGGTTCTTCAATCACTTGAAGATGTAACGGAAGATGTAATGGAAAATAAAAGTTAAAAGGGGTCAAGGGATTTAATTTTAGACAAGGAAAATTTCGAGAAACAGTGAATCCTGATATGTTATCCAGTAAATAAAAACACACAATTTCAAGATAAGAAAAGTTTATTTAAATTTAGTAAAGTTACTGATGAATAAAATAATTGACAAAATAATAAAATTCAGGGGACAAAAAGAATGCAAAGTGACTTTAATTTTATATCTTTCAACTTTATAACACCAATACTATCATATAAACGATATATATATATATCTTGTTCAAACTCTCAACCGCTATTAAAATAAGTTCTAGTCATCCATTCATGTAAAATAATTTATTAAGATCAGGTGTCATCGTCTACAAATTTTAAAAATGTATTTGAGCATGAGAGCATGAATAAAAATCCTTTTATTAACGACTGTTAATTTGAACACGATATATATGTAAATATATATATATATATATGGAGAGTGTGATCTAATAGCAGGAATTGAAAAAAGGGGACTCCCCTCAGTCACTCATAATGAGGTCTTCGAAACTATTAGACTTACAGACTTGCAATTTGACCAGCATTATATATTTTTGTTTTTTGAGTAGAGATCTGCTAAGAATTTTTGCAAAAATCAATTCCAAAGGAGGGTTTCGGGGGCATTACGCACACAAATTCCCGTCTTTTAACTATTACATCAACGGATTTAAAATCTGGGAAATATATTTCTTTTTTTGAGTAGAGATTCATTAAAAACAGGTTTTGACTTAATCGCATGCTAAGGGTGGGTACCTATAAAGAATTAGTTATTGATCAGTTAGAGTTATTAGCAATTAGATCTACAGACTTGGAATTTTGGTAGCATATTACTTTTGGTGAATAAAGTTCCTCCAGAAATGAGGTTTGCAAAAATTAACTCCGGGTAGGAGGTTACAGGGAAATGAATGATAAATGTTCTTTTTTAGAAATTCATGTCCTGTGCTTTGCAAATAAAGAGTTAAGGAATATTTTTTATATTATTAATATAAAATTCCAATTATTTTAAAATCAATTATATATTAAGAGGTTTTTTCAACGAGATCGACAGCTTAATGCTAAGACTTATAAAATAATGACGAAAAAAGAATTTACAGTGTTACAATATTATAAAATACTCAGCGAAAACGGCGGGCAATGGTCAGTCTTAAATAATAAATATTTCATCTTACTAAAGCTGAATAAATATAACTAATTATAAAAATTAGCCTCCCATCCTATATAGTGGTCAGTCACGCTGATTGCGGTTCCGTAAGGCCTGGGTTCGAATCCCCGAGAAGGCATGGATGTCTGTAAAATTATAATGCCTTCACAGCATGAGGTTACTCTTAATAGTCTTTGGGCCGCCAGTCTTCTCGTGAGGTTGGTGGAAGGCCTTAGACCCCTCCCCCCAGGGAATTCTCCCTCAAAATTGGATTGGAACTGAGAAAAATCGTACTGTCACCTGCATAGTGTTTAAGACTAAGGCTAACGACAGGCGTTAAAAGTCCAGCGCTCAGCCGCGATGAATTTCGCGAACCTTAATCTGATATTACTGTAGAACAGATGACAACGTAACAACAACAAATGCCAAAATTAGAAGTAAACACGTAAAACGAAAAAAAATTTTAATTGAACTCGAGACAATTAAATAAGAAAACGTATTTTATAACATTATTATTATTATCTTTAAATTAAAAATAAATATTTCAAAAATAAATTGCATTTCACCAATACATAAGGAACATAAACTACATTTGTAAGCATCGGAAGCAACATTATTGTAAACAAGTAATATAAAAAAAATTAAGTCAATTTCTACTTAGGTCAACAAATAAAAAATTTTAGTTACTTTTTATTTAATAGTTACAATTAATAAAAAATGTATATCAATATGACAGAATCACAATATTAGCGACAGCATAGAAAGCGATTTTCCTTGCACATACAATAACCATTTCCTTTCTATATATGGTGTAGGACTATTTATTTTTTGTTTGTTACTTTTATTCATTAATTAAATTTAAGTATTCTAATAAAATAGTATAGTAAAAAAGAAATCTCATTATCAGAAATTAAGTCAGCCCAGATGGAATTCAAACCCATGACCTTGGATTAGATGTCCAACGCGCTATCCACTGCACTGCAGGGACACAACGAACGATTTTCCTTTCTATATATGCTGCTGGACTGCTATTTTTGTGTTTGTTACTCTCTATTTATTCATTTTTTAATTTATTTAATGAGTTAATAACTGGAAAAACTGTATTAGCATCAGGTGTCATCCACTACAAGTTTAAAAAATGCTATTGAACTTGAATGGATGAATAGGAGGTATTTTACTAATGATTGAAAATTTGAACTAGATGTGCGTGCGTGCGTGCGTGTGTGTGTGTGTGTGTGTGTGTGTGTGTGTGTGTGTGTGTGTGTGTGTGTGTGTGTGTGTGTGTGTGTGTGTGTGTGTGTGTGTGTGTGTGTGTGTGTGTGTGTGTGTGTGTGTGTGTGTGTGTGTGTGTGTGTGTGTGTGTGTGTGTGTGTGTGTGTGTGTGGTGTGTGTGTGTGTGTGTGTGTGTGTGTGTGTGTGTGTGTGGTGAGAGATTGAACTAATAGTAAGAAGAATTAAAAAAAGGGTTGAAAAGGTGATTGTTCTCTCTCTTTCATTTTTTTTTTCTGTTTGGAAAAGAAAATGAAATTAGCTCTTGGAGAGAAAATAAAATAAGAGACGAGGTAAGGTTTAAACCAACGAAAATTAAAAGTAAAGTGCACCATTTGCTGGAAGAAATCTATCCAGTATTTTGTTTTCAAAAAGTGTTCTTAAAAAAAAAAAGTTGCATTCCTAAATATGCAGTTCAGGTCTATTCTGACGGTAGTCGTGCAAAAGACCGTACTGAGAGCAGTATTTTTATTAACTCCCCATCTTGAGACTGCAATACAGAAACATAACTAAGACACTTCATCTATTTTTAGGAGTGGGTTAGTTGGGGTTAATATACGGCTTGATGCTATGATTGTTTTTTTTTGTGGAACTATGGATTTTACTAGACAGCAACATCTTAGTGGCTGGTCCTTCACAAACGGTGAAACCAGATTTTCTATTCTGGTGAAACTAAGGAAGATTTCTAAAATCATGATGTCTGCCTCCACACACCCAATGAATACCATCAAATGTTAAGGTATCCGACTACCCTAAAATTGTAAATTTTGCCAAAAATTGCCGAATTTTTTTTTGTGTGGTTTTATTTTATATGTCACTTATTAGCTTTACAAAAATACCAAGTTTATTAATTTCCGTTCACCAGAACAAAAACTTCAAGTGTTTTAGCAAAAGCAGATGTCATACTTTAAAACGCGTTTTACTCGAAATGTGTTTGTTTTTTTCAAATACTCAAACGGAGCCAGCCAGTGATTACTAAAAAAGTTATGAACATAATTAACTGAAATTTTTTTGTTTACATTCTGTATAATAATAGAAGTGTTTTACCCTTCAGATTTATCAATCACTGTTTTGTTACAAAATTTGCAGCCCCTTATGTGAATATAATCACTGTTTTTTTAAAGCAATTTCATATGATAACAAAGATAAAGTGCTGTAATTTTTTTTTAAATTAAAATATTTCTTATCCTGAAGGTCATTTCAAAAATGAATAGCATAGCAACACATCAGAATTGAAAAATGGAAAATCTGTTCATTAACTTTTGGTGCGTTTATGTTATTTTTTGTCAGTTTTTCCCCATTTTTCCCCATTTTAGTAATATAGTAATAATTTCTTTTACTATTCTTAATTTTAGCATATTTTTCTTAAAATGTGCTAAATAAATCTAAAAACTACAAAAAAACCCATATCTCCATTTTTTTTAAAAAAAAGGCTTCGTAGGTAATCGGATACCTTAATATTAGAGATAAGTACGTGCTCGTTAAATCAATGGGTCCAAAAGTCTTGTGTGCGGTCGCAGCTGAAACCACGAGTACAGGGGGCTGTAGAATATTTGGGGAGGTGGTATCGCCATCTATCGTGAAAGGACCGAGCCAAATCGTACTGTCACCTGCATGCTGCTCAAAGCTTAGGCTAACGACAGGTGTAAAAATCTAACCCTTAGTCGCGATGAATTTCGTGGACCTCCATCTGATGCTACTGTCGATCAGGTGGCATAATCAACAACAACAACAACATTAGAGATAATGAGATCTATCTTCTTTAGCCCAATTTACCAAGGTCACTTAATATTTTTAGAGGAGTATGGATGCAAATGGGTAGTAGGAACAAAACAGAACTTTTGATACTCTAAATTAGGGGTTGACAACCTACAGCACTCACAGCGGCACTGTACAAAGTTAATTCAGTTAAATCTCTTTATCTTTCCTCTCCAGATCTTATGTTTAAAGAATTTTTCTTTCTTTTAAATCTTTGCCATAAAACTATTCTGGTGAATCTGATTGTGTGCCTCTTATTCACAGGGTTAAATATTCAGCTCAAGTCAAAACGGCTGTGTAATACTTGTAAAATAAAGCATCCCTCATTGCTGTTTCGAAAAAAAAATCCTCAGTTATTGAAAGCAAAATTTACAGAATTATGAAAATACCTCGAAGAAAAATATCCATAAATAGACAGCTATTTTAAACGTGTTGCATTGCAGGAGTTATTTACTTGTTTGAAGAAAATTGCGTGTGTTCCGCTTTCCGCTTTTTTGTTCTACATATATATAAAATTAATATGTAGTGAAAAAAAATTTTCTCATATAAAATATATTTTGAGACTATAAAGAGCTAAAAATAGCTCTTCATAGTTCAATAGCTAAAAAATCACAGTCATGTGTATTTCACTATATTGCAGGAATACTTATATATTATTTATTAAAATAAGAAATAAATATAATATTTATTTTCTTAAGATATGCATTATATGTGTACAGTTTTAGTTTTTATTTATGTTGAAGGAATAGTTAGTTGTTATGTTGCTTTTAAATGCTAATAAATATCTTTAAATGATGCATAATTAATGCATAATAAAACTTTAAATATCTGCACTTGTTATCTCTATTCCTTAACTCTGTATGAATTGCAGAGTCAAATTGTTTCAAATACTTTCTATAGTGGTGCACCCTGAACCATGTTGGTATATTGGTTTCGCATACCACTGTTATAAAGTTGCCTACTTCTACTCTAACTGAATAGAGAATCATTTAGTATCAATACATAGGAAAAAAGAATTATTAATATATTCCTAAGGAAAACTTTGACGTCATTATAAATGTTTCATCTTAACAATTTACATGGTACAATTTAAGCAAAAAATTTTAATTTAAAAATTTTCAAACATTTTTTGGTTGCCCCCGATGTGTGAATACTATGTAAGGCAGATTTTGTGCTCAAAATTTCATAAAATCTAGGCATTTATTTTTTTAAGGAAAAAACTTCAAATTTGTGAAGTGATTTTAAAATGCTATTCCTCCTACAAAAATTTACGTACACGCATGAACTTCGATTTATAAGTACCTCAAACTATGCATAACAATAGTTGCTATGGCTTTTACGATAACATGATTGGTATTAGTACAATACTTCTTTTTATGAATCCGTATTGAAAATTCCTTAAAAAATTTACAAACTCTGAGTTTAATTATTTTTTTTAAAAAATAAGTATTGCTTTGATGTAAAAATGCATACCAACTTTTGTTACATGTACTCTTAGCAATAGGTAAAAAAAATTCAAAGTATTAGGCACAATAGAAAAAAAGCCTTAGCATTTTAAATGAAGACAAACTAGTTACCTTCTTTCCGAGATAAGTCAGTTTAAAGTTTTGATTTTCCATAGGGATGTGAATAAAAATGAACGCAAAAGCTATCATAATTCTGTTTTTCTTAGTTTAGAGCTTCCACATTTTGTCAGGTTATAGAAAAGTATATTAAAAATAATTTAAGCTAAAAGAAAAATTTGATTTTTTTACTGATTTTTGTCAATTGGATCGTACTGTGTCCCCTTAAATAAAGAAAATAATATCATTAAATAATTTATACAATTTAGCCAAAATTTCAATATATATTTCAAGCTTCTTTTATAAAAAGACTTCACTATAAACAGAATTGTGTGTTTTACTTTAATCTGAAAGCATAATTTTCAATAAGCAAATAATGTATTTTTTTATTCTGAAAGAGGATGCAGTTATAGTTTGCTTTAAAAAAACTCATTAAAAGATACATATTTTAGTGGTACATTTGATTCATCTTATTCATTTTTAAGAGATAAAATGAGGGAAAACAAAAAAATTTTCGTTTTTCGTTTTATTAGCAAGGAATAAAAAAACAGCGGAGGGAGGAGATATTCTAAAATAATTGATGCAGGTTAACTTTTGAAATTCAATACATGAATACGAAACGTTTTATGTGCAGGTTATTAAAATATTTTAAAAGAAGACATTTCCGACAGATAATAAAGTTTTGATTTGCATATTTGTATTTTCTTGCAAGGGACTCCTATAAAATGGTTTTTTTTTGTCGGGTTTCATATATTTTTAATTCGAAATTTACCAGAAAAGTTTACAGTAAAAAGTAAATATCGAAAATGTGTTTATAAATTCTAACTACTTCTTTCTTTATTTACGAAATGCTTCTTTAGTAACTAATTTTAATATATTTTATGCTTATAAAATAATATTATAAATCACAAAAACCTCTTGAGAAAGCTTTTTCGAAAATGATTTTAAATAGCATTATTTGATATTCAATTGAAATTCTCCAAATCTATGCAGCAAAAATAAAATAAATTTTGGTTTTCAATTTTAGCAAAAGCTAAATAAATTAATTTCCTCTTGTATGGGCGACACTCCTTGTATTTTTAAAGCAGCAAGACTCTTCTGCTAATAAATTGCGCACAATATACCTAAACTCCTCATCATAAAAATATCATTCGTCAAAGTATAAAATATTTTTAAAAAATCAGTAGAAAGGATTTGTACAATGTAATTTATTTATTAATTTTTATGTATAATTTTATGAAATTAGGTAAGTTTAATATTTAAAAAAAATCTTAACAGCTTAAAAACTTTTTATGAAGGTTTAAAATTAATATTATTGCTAATGCCTGAAAACCATTACATTATTTCATCAATGATTTGCAAACATTTTCAAGCCCCATAATTAAGAAGTTAACAAGAT